AATCACTTTAACTACGAACAATCACGCTTAAGCTACATAATCTTTACTTAGGATAATCTCCTTCAGTTACTTCCTTGTAGCTTAACAGAACAATAGAGTAGTGACCTTGGAATGGAGATAACAAATGCCCTAACCTTTGGAATAGAATGGATAGGATTAAAATCAACTGGTATAAATACAGATGTAACAGGAGAATAAAGACAGAACCTGGCTGGAGAACCTGACTAGAGAACCTGGCTAGGCTGCTGATCAACTGAACACTGTCTCCGTGTCATTCCTTCTTCGCCAACTCTGTCCACACCTTTGGGAACCCCTGGACCTGCTGGGGTTGGACCCCAACATTCTTCCTCTTCTCTGACGTGCTCCTCATGGCCAAGCCTTGGCCCGCATTGCATCTGCTGCAGGGTGGCACCTTCACCTGCCAGGCCCTCCACCAATGGCCCAGTGTCCACTCCACAGGGCCTTTGGCCACTCATGAGGCCCTTGTGGTGGGCTGCTCAGCCAGTCCTCTCCCCGTGAGAGAGCTACTTTTCTATCCACACACCAGGAGGAGCTGTTGCGCTGCGACCACAGTCTCACTTTGGCCATCAGCCGCCAGAAGGAGAATCTTACAAATTCCAGATCTCAGGATTCTTCAGGGATAGGTCAGGGTCAGGAGTACAAAGCAACCTTCTTCAGTACTGAATAAAACACAGAACCCGTCATGGTTTGAGAGGGGCCACTTTGTGCTCGCCTGGGACTGAGCTACACCAGGTTATCCGGCCAGCTCTCACGGGTCAGGAAACCAGGTCTGACCCCATTGAACCTCCACTGAACCGGTCCCTCCAGCACAGACAGAGCATTTGGGACTGATAAGCTCCATGCGGTGTCTATGGCCAGTCGTTTATCAAGGTTGCAGCTTTGCAAACATGGCCATTTTTATGTTGTATGTAGTTTCTATAATTTATTTGCCCCCTGGATTTTAGTACAGTGTCGTGTGTGTGTTTAAAAGTCTCTCCCCATCCCTCCTCCCACCTACTACCTCCCCCCCCCAAAAAAAAAGAAATACGAAAAACTTTATGCTAGTGTTGGCTCTCTAATAGCTACTAATTGTATGACCTTGTCAATTCACTTAACCTTTTTAGGCTTTAGTTTCATTATCTCTAAAATAAGGAAAATTTTTAGACTAGAATTTTTCAACCTTGGCACAGTTGGTATTTTGGGCTGGGTAATTCTTTGCTGTCCATTGTAGGATGTTTAGCAGCATCCCTGGCTTCTGTCCACTAGATGTCAGTAGTATCACCCAGTGAGTCAACCAACAATATCTCCAGACATTTGCAAATATCCCCCAGTTGAGGGGCAGGGGACAAAATTCCTTCAATCCCATTTCAGCACTGCTGTGACTGAACTTTAACTTTTAATATATGATATGTAACATTATAGTACAGATTATATATACTTGGAAATTTCTGGAGAAGGCTGTTTAGAGGAATGTTATAGAGGTGGTGGTATGCTAATATTCTTATAAATAAAATTTTCTTCAGCTCCTACAAGAGAGAGGGGGGAAATGGAGAAAGGCCAGAAAGATTGGCAACATCAAGCTCTTGGCAAAGTGTGAGCTTCAGGCAGCTTGAGGGCAGTGAAAAATAATATAAATGGAGCCACTTTTAAGTGGAGTCAGAACTGCCATCCCAGAGGAACTGCATGTCTTACTTATTTCTCAGCCCCTTGGAATGTTAAAACTGGGCAAAAGAACCCAAAGCAGCAGTGTATCCCAGACAGTTGTTTGCAAAGATAATAAGAAAGCAGGTATTATGACTACCGGACTGAAAATTGAAAACATTCTTTAGAATTAGCATCACTGTGTTAGCTTCTTTGCACAATAGAAATCCTTCCTTCTGTTAATGTAATTGTTCCCCCTTCCCTTGCTCATAAACACCCCTTGCCTCCCCTCCTAATTGGAACACTATGTGGCTTTCTGCCCAAATCGGTGCTTTCCTAAGAGCTATTCTTTTGGATCTCAAAAAATGCCTGTTGCCTCTCACTTTGGCCAAACAGCTGTCACAGGAATGTGAGAGAATAGATGATAAAGGGGGAAGGATGTAATTGAGTATTAATCCTCAAAGAACTAAGTCTTAGCTGGGAAATGGCTGTCCTTTCAAATCCAAGCCACCGATGGCAACCTCGAACTCAGTACTGGGTGGAGGGCACAGTCAGCCACAGGGCACGTCGGTGGGGGTTGCTAAGCTTCTTGAACGAATAGGAGTTCATATAAGTCTATATGACTTTGAAGAATACTCCCTGTTAATAGTAATGCAAGGGAATTATTTTTCCAAAGAATATGTTTGAGGGACAGGGGTTGGTTGAGTAGGGGACATGCTTCACCTAGATAAGTGTAGTCAACTTTGGGGGTTCCTGTTAGTTAAATGACCACTAGATGGTGCTATACCTGACTAATGCATCAAGTATGGCTAAATACCCTGCCCTTCCCCACATAGTTTCTCAGTCCTTTTTGAAATAATTTTGATTGAACTATACTTCAAATGAAAGATACCTAAAAAAACTTTTCCCATTCAGAACAAAATTACTTCTGACACCTTGTTAATCACTATTTCTGATTCAAAATATATCCATTTCCATTCCAAGCAACTTGACAACCAAGCAAGGCTAAGGCTCAGAAGGCACAAGAGTATATTGAGTTCATAGCAAGAGATTTGTTCCTTTTTATTTTTTTATTTTTATTTTTAAAAATTTTTAAAAAAATATATTTTATTGATTTTTTTACAGAGAGGAAGGGAGAGAGATAGAGAGTTAGAAACATCGATCAGCTGCCTCCTGCACATCTACTGGGGATGTGCCCGCAACCCAGGTACATGCCCTTGACCGGAATCGAACCTGGGACCTTTCAGTCCGCAGGCCTATGCTCTATTCACTGAGCCAAACTGGTTTCGGCTTGTTCCTTTTCAAAATGTTAATTGAGGCCATACCCAGGCGATTTAATAACACTACTCCTGGCAAGCACAAGCAAAACTGATATAAAAACCTTTTGACTAAATTTCTTCAACACTCCGCTGACTGATCTTGTCAGAGGTGAGTTTTGTACTTACCCTTGGCAGTCTGAGATATTAAAAAGGCAGAAGTTAGAACATTAAAATGCTTTGGAGAGCCCTGAAATGTGATAATGTGCTACAAAAGATAGCTCTGTGACTCGTGTGTGTGGTTGCATGGTATTTAGAGAGGGAACTTGGCCATTATACACATTAATAAGGTAGCCCGTGTCAAAATGAGAAGTTCTGAGGGCTCATTTAAATACTATCTACTAACTGAGAAAATATGAAATTCACAGCCTACTTAAATTTTTAATCACGAGGGATAAAATGTCCTTATGTTTTATAAATCTTTATATATGAGCCAAGGGAAAGAATCCCTCTGCAGTTGTTATAAGTAATTTTGTTTGTTTGTCTTTAAGGAAGAGAGACTATTGTTGACCCTCATCAGTAGCCTTACTTGTATAGCAAAATAGTAAAGGACCCTCAGGGAGGATGGGGTGGTAGTCAGCAATGGGTGGAGAGCGGGTCGGTTGAATTACTACAATCCACAGTTCCACATCCCATTTAAAACACAGTCAGAGAAAAAGACAAAGAAAATAGTCTCAGAAATGATAGCGTTAGATGGAGAACAGGCAAAGCAGAAGTTAAATGGACAAAAAAACCTGCCCTCCTGTGTTTACCCTATGGCTCTATTTACCAATTAAAACATTAATAACATTGCCCTAGCTGGTTTGGCTCAGTGGATAGAGCATCAGCCTGCGGACTGAAGGGTCCCAGGTTTGATTCCGGTCAAGGGCACATGCCCAGGTTTGGGCTTGATCCCCAGTACAGGAGGCAGCAGATCAATGATTCTCTCTCATCATTGGTGTTTCTATCTCCCCCTCTCCCTTCTTCTCTGAAATCAATTAAAATATATTTTAAAAAATGAATAACATAATAATGCATATTTTTAGATATTTTCCATCAAAATAATGGAGAGGAAGGGTGAGCACAAGTGAAACAGCCAGGGGTTGTGAAAGCAAACACAAAATTCCATTTCAGAGTTTGCCTAGGGCTGGGCCTGACTCTAAAGTACATCTCTGTAAAACTCACTGTAAACAAATAATTCTTTTCCTTAGTTTAATACAAACATCTTGGTAAAAATCCTCATCCAACAAGCTAACTATAACAACTGATTTAAAGACAATGAGAAGCAGAATGGGGGGTGGTGAAGGAAACCCCTCAATACTTCCAGCCAGGAGTTGGTACACAGGTCCGATCGCTGGGTCAGAGCTGTGAGTTCAGTCCCATTGACATGCCACAGATTTCCCCCAAAGATATGTATCTCATGTGTTCTAGAGAAACGCTTCGTAAATTGTCATGTGTTCCTCCTTTGGCTCCTTCCTACCCCTACCCACAACTTAACATGTGTTCTGTGAAGGAAAAAAAAGGTCCTCAGTAAAACATACTTAAAAAACACTACATACTATATGCTCTCCTTGGAGATTTCTGGGTGCACTTGGGCATCTTAAAGGGTATCAAAATATCTGGGAGTTTTTAGGAAGGGAAAATCTGTGTAACTGAAGTCATCATTTCCCACATTTAAATTCCTCTCCCTGTCCCCACCCTCACCCCCAGGAATACCAGCATTTCACAGGCCACTGGTATTCTCGAGTAGAGTGTTCAGAAAATGCTTTTTCAGGGATAAAAGTATTGCATCTTCCTGCCACATTAGAAGGATGGTGAAGGTTGAAAATACTTACCACAAGGACCTACTTAATATCCTGAGAGTTCATATTTTTGCTTAAATTTGGCTTCTTGGTACAGTTGTTCAGCTTTTGCCCTATCATTCTTCTGATTGAGACATCATCCGTGTTGGGAAATAACTGTTTTGTGACTCCTGTAAAAAACAACAGCAGCACACAAAAACACTTTAGGAGGCCTTTGCATCTTAGGATATGAACTGAGATAAAACATGAAGCACATTACAATTTTGTCTTCATTTTGCAAAAGTAGCCCGAACACCCATGAGATCTTTAAGTAGATGAATAGATAAGTAGGCTTTACAAAGAAAGCAAGAGCTAACGAAGCTCTACATATTTGTCTTCCTATGGTACCACTCAACTTTAACCTTACTGCTTGCTCTGAAATCTCTCCTTGCTCCAAAATGCTAGGAATTTAATTGTATCTCTCCCAACATCAGTTAGAATAGTTGAGTCTGACCCTTTTCCAAGTAAGAAATTACATACTATTAAAATATAGAGAGCTGGGATTCAGTGATTCCCTAAATTTGTTAGATATTTTCAAAAAATTATTTGACAATCTAGATTATTATATTTAAGGAGAATCAGTAAGTTGAAAACCATAAGTAAAGTCAAATTAGCCTCTTTCTTCCTAGAATAAAGATAAAGGGTAGAACTAAGACAAAGAGAAAATAAGATATAAACTGTTAATGAAATTGTAGTTGAAAGGATTTACTTTTCTAAATCTATAAATTTTCTGAATCCAAACTTTTCAGTAATATTCAATTTTAGTTTTAGTTTAATATCTACTTTTAAAGTAAAGTTTTTCTATAAAATTTCCCATATTTACTAGGGTTTAGAATTTGTCCTCAGATTTTTCTTTCACAGAAAAATAAATTTGAAGAAAAATATCATAAAAGAATAACTTAACCTAGAAGCATAAAATAATTTCAAAATCATGTGACAGTATAATACAATCAATTTATCACCTATGATTTCTTGAACTTCGTTCTGATTCATAGCTGGCTTTACTGCTTTCTCCCTTGAAGTAGAGGATTTTGCACCGGTCAGGCTGTGTGTGGCCATGTATTCATTTGTGTAAAGTACTTGCATTAAATCATTAATAAACTTCTGAGGTTTGCTCTTGTTACAACGAGCAATCTGCCATTTTTCAATCTTGAACTGAAAAAAAAAAAAACACAATGAATACAGTCATTGGAAGAGGAAAAAGGAAGTAAAATCTGGAAGAATATATTACTAATTAAGGCATACCAGAAAACAGAATCAATGTTCTTTAAGGAGATGCATTGTACTTTTAGTATATACTTTACATTTCAGGGATTAGAGTTAAATGCTATCTTTGAGAAAATTCCCAATATTTGTGAGTATATACATAGACAGAGTATATACATATTCTTGTTATGGAATCTGGATTTGGTGCTTTAAGAATGATTTCCCTCCTCAATACTTAACTAAGTGTGGGAGGCAGAATAATGGCCCTGGAAACTGTGAATGGGAAAACAACTTTGTAGGTGTGATTAACGTTAAGTATCTTGAGATGGGAAGACTAGCCTGGGTTATCCAGGTGGGCCCTGACCTAATTACAGGAGCCCTTCTATGCAGAAGAGGGAGGCAGAAGAAAGGGTCAGAAAACAGGACACGATGGAGGAGAGATCTGAAGAGTGAGAGGGACTTTGCTTGCCATGGCAGGCTTTGAGGATGGTGGAAGTGGCTGCAAAACAAGGAAGGTGGTTGCCTCTAGAAGCAGGAATGGCCTTCCATTTACAGTCAGCAAGAAAATTGGAACTCAGTTCTACAACCACAGCAGCTGAATTCTACAACCCAAAGGAGCAGCAAACAGATTCTTCCATAGAGCCTCCGGAAAGGAGTCCCCTGCCAATAGCTTGATATTACCACGCTTCTGACCTACAGAACTCCCAGACACTTAATCTGTATTCTTACAAATTACTAATTCTGTGGTAACCTGTTAGACTGCAGAAGGAAACGAATACACTAAGATTCAAATATTCTGAATGATAGACTTTTAGTATGTAATATTGCTCTTGAAGGCCTATTTTCCAACAATAATACCTGATTCAAACAAAACTCCTGTCTTTTTAGCTTCTATATTTTTATTAAGAGAAATTGAGGAAGTAGCAAAAGAACTGTGTCCAGACAGCATGCAGAGGATGAAATTTACCTCTTTCCAATGATATGATTTCATAGCCCTTAATGCACAGTTATCCTTCTGTTATTGGATTTAGAATTGTCTAGTTTTAAAACATCATCACTGCCTACAATTTGACTTTAGTTTTAGAAACAACCTGGATATTTGTTTCACAAATATTAGATTTACTGTTTTATGTAATAGGAATGTTATGGTTGTGATCTAAAGTTACCTAAGAGTATCTGATAAAACAATGGTAACTTTGTGCTCTTTTTTAAAAAATGATTTTTTATTGTTGAAAGTATTACAGATGTCCCCTTTTTTCCCCATTGATCCCCTCACCCCTCTCTCCCCCCAAGGCCTTCACTGCACTATTGTGTGTCTATGGATTATGCACATATGCATGTAAGTTCTTTGGTTAATCTCTTCCTGGCCCCAAACACCTTCCCTCTGAGATTCGTCAGTCTGAAGTTCTTTGGTTAATCTCTTCCTGCCCCCCAAACACCTTCCTTCTGAGATTCATCAGTCTGATCCATGCTTCTATGTCTCTGGATCTATTTTGTTCATCAGTTTATTTTCTTCATTAGATTCCACATATGAGTGAGACCATGTGATACTTGTCTTCCCCTGAATGGCTTATTTTACTTAGCATAATACTCTCCAGATCCCTTCATGCTGTCTCAAAGGGTAAGAGATCTTTCTTTTAGACAGCTGCATAGTATCCATTGTGTAAATGTACCACAGCTTTTTTTATCCACTCATCTACTGGTGGGCACTTGGGCTGTTTCCAGATCTTAGCTATTGTAAATAGCACTGCTGTGAACATAGGGGTGCATCTATTCTTTCTGATTGGTGTTTTGGGATTCTTAGGATATATTGCTAGCGGTGCTCTTATTTTAATTTTTGTATTTAACTATATCCCAGAGAAAGATAGGATGGGTATTCCAACTGACCTGCTTCTCATCAGTGTGATGCTCTTCTTCAGCTTTCAAGGAAATTGGTGAACTGGAATTAGAATTAGAATTAGAATTACTGCACATGGAGGCAAATGAATCTGGTGAGGAGTTGTTTGTTGCTCTCCAGAGGGTAGATGCAGATGTAAACATGGTTCCTCGACCCTTAAGCACGGCCTCTGCCATACCAACCAATTCTTCAAACTGGGTAACTGCTTGTGGTAACACTAAAATGGCAAGAAAAAGTAACACTTTACAAATATTTTTTTTAGTAACAGGACATATATACATTTCTTATTGTGTGTATATGCATAGACATATGTAGAACAAATCATTAACTTTTGCTACCTTTGGAAAACAAACATGGTAAGAAAAGTGGTTGGGACATATTTACTTTTTATTAAATAATTTAGTAATTGCTCAGTAATAAAAAATCAATTTATAAATATTTGGTGACAGTATTTAAATGTTTATGCATTACATTGTAACTAAAATGAATGTTTTTACACATTGATTATTTTTTCTAATTGCTAATAGCATTATTTGAAAGTATTTAATGTGTTTGGAGACATTACTGATTCTATTACCAATCACCTTCCAGATACTCACATTAAGCCAGCTTAAGTGACAAGATAAACTAAACCATTTCTCACAGATTAAAATAAATTTTCCAAGACCTCTGCGTGTGGTTTGCCATGGAGTCAAATTCCATCAAACTAATAAAAATTCATTGCCATAATTCAAATCTATGTTTTCATATATCAAAGATGAATTCTGGTAATTAACTGAATGTCCTTTCTTTTTTTCAGTAGAAACTTACACATTCAAACGTTTCATGTCTCCATGTTAAATGGTCTTCTCTGTTGTTATATTTAGTTTGTTTCCTAAGGACAAATAACATTTTGTTGGAGTTGGAAGCCACCTTGAACCCTATCTAATTCAACTCCTCACTTTATGGTTAAGGACAAAAGACAGAAAATTTTTTTGTATATTTCTTAAACATATCATTGAGCTATAATCTTTAGAATAATGTAAGATTTGAGAGCTGAAAATCAGGTATATTGATGACATGTCCAAATTAATACATCTGGTACTATATTAATAGGAAAATCTACTAAAGAAGAAAATCTTATATATTTCAATTAATATTTACTAAGCACCTCTCCTTTGCCAGACACTTATTCAGAAATTACTTATTGAGCATTTAATAATATTAAACATTAATCTAGCTTTTACTCTGTGACAGGCCTTATTCTGGGAAATTTACTCATGTTTATTCATTTAATCTTCATTGCAACTCTATGAGATAGGTGTCATCATTATCCCTAATTTATAGATGAGGACAAGTAGGCAGTGAGAGGTTAAATAACCCATCCAGGGTCAACCCAAGTAGTGAGAAGAAGAACCAAGATTCAAATTCAGACTCTGCCAATTTCATGCTATAAACTAGAGTTGGTCATTGAACAACATGAGTTTGAACTGCACAGCTCCATTTATATGCAAATTTCCCCCCCAGTAAATATATTGGAAGTACTAGCCAGGCAGCTCAGTTGGTTAGAGCGTCATCCAGATATGCCAAAGTTTTGGGTTCAATCTCTGGTCAGGAAACACAAGAATAAGTATTTCTCTGTCTGTCTGTCTGTCTCTCTCTCATATCATGCAAAAAAAATATATATACATGAAAATTGTTAGAGATTTGTGACAATTTGAAAAAAACTCACAGATGAACTGCATAGCCTAAAAAATGAAAAGAAAATTAAGTATTCATGAATGCATATAACACACAAAATATGTGTTAATCAACTGTTTATGTTATTAGTAAGGCTTCTAGTCAACAGTAGGCTATTAGAAGTTAAGTTTTTGCAACAACATGGATGGACCTTGAGAATATTAAGCTAAGTAAAATAAGTGAGTCAGAAAAAGCTAAGAACCATTGATTTCACTCATATGTCGTATATAAAATTGAAACTGGTGAACACAAATAGCAGTGTGGTGGTTGCCAGAGGGAACAGGGTGGGAAGTGAAGGGGTCCTAATATATGGTGGCAGGAGAAGATTTGACTTTGGGTGGTCGGTACACAGTGATCTTGTAACATAGAAACCCGCACCTGAAACCTATATGATCATATTAACCAATGTCACCCCAATAAATTTAATTTAAAAAGTGGGGGGAGAAGTTAAGTTTTGGAGAGTCAAAGTTATACATGGATTTTCAATTGCATGAGTGGGGTCAGCACCTCTAATGGCCGCATTGTTCAAGAGTCAACTGTACTAATTATGCAGACACTCAACATTTTCCAACCACTATGTTAGGTGCTAGGTATGAAACTGGAAGCAAAACCAGATGTGATTCTCGTTTTTTTGCAAGTGAGAGAGGATGGAGGACATTATTTACATAACTATTCTGTGTAGTAAGAATTTGGCTTGGGCAAAGGAAGGTCTATTCTGCAGCTCCCCCTCCCCCATTCCCATCCTACTCCATCAGTTCCTGGGAGGTAATCTCTACATGCTTCAAAATTTCTCAATAGGAGTGTCTTTATTATTCATGGTGACCTCCTCAGACCACACTTTATAGTTTATGCTAAGGGGTTTCTCAGGGTAGGAATGATCATACTCAATAGTGTTAGGATAGAAGCTGGCCATGGCCAGAAAGCCAGAAAGATTTAGAGACTGAGTTCAATCACATAGGTGATCAATCAACCAATCAGTCATGCCTATGTAATAAACCCTCAATAAAAACTTTGGACACCAAAGCTCAGGTGAGCGTCCTAGATGGACAATGCTTCATGCAAATTGTAACACATAAATGCTATGAGGGTAATGCATCCTGAGGACAGCAGGAGCTAGCTGCACATCTGGAAATGGCCCAGACTCTGCCCTATGTGTCTTTTCTAACTCTGGCTGGTTCTAATTTGTATTCTTTCACTGTAATAAATGAAACCATGAATAGAATAGGTGTCAGTGAGTTGTGAGTTTCTATAGCAAATTATTCAACCTGAGGGTGTTTTTGGAAAACCCCAGAGTTTGCAGTTGGTATCAAAAGTCTTAGGCAGACTTGGCAGTCTAGAGGACAGTGCCCTTAAACTTGCAGTTTGGCTGACTCAAGGTACACGCAAAGAAATGAAAAATTACAGTCGTTAAGTGTGTAAAAAAGTAATATAAATTGAGCCACTCTGAAATGGTGTCTGAGAACCATAGGAATTGCCTTTGCACATCTCACTCCTCAAACTTCTGGGATATTAAAACTGGTCGAAATAACCTTTGGACTGGACTTAAAGCAGCATTACCCCAAACAACTGTTTGAAAAGATAAGAGAGCAGATATTATGACTACCAGAACGAAAATTAAAAACACCCTTTAGAATGAGCATTACTATGTTAATTTATCTGTATCTATAGAAATTCCTTTCTTCTACTGATACAATTATTCCTCTTCCCTTTCCCATAAATACCCTTGCCTTCAACTCCTAATTCAAATACTATTTGGGGTTCTGCCTGGATTACTGCTTCCCAAAAATAAGCTACTCTTTTGGATCTAAAAAGAATGCTGTTGCCTCTGCCTTTGGCCTTTTATTTTTAGGCTGAGTGTCACGAAGGGGAAGGGTAATGTGGTTGACCCCGCCTGGGAAAGGAAAGCTTCGATGGGGAGGTCACGATTGATCTGAGAGCTGAAGGCTGAGCAGGAATTAAATAGAGGGAATGTGGTTGACCCCGCCTGGGAAAGGAAAGCTTCGATGGGAAGGTTACGATTGATCTGCGAGCTGAAGGCTGAGCAGGAATTAAATAGTTAGAGGGAACGAGGAGGTCATCAGAGGCTTAGGAACCACACGTTTTGAATTTGAGGAACTGCAAGAAGGCCAAAGATAGAATGTAAAGAGAAAAGGAGGATTTGTTATAAAGTGAGGTTTCAAGAATATTTATTGTGTTTTCTAATAATGAAATGTGTACCTGTTCATTGGAATATATCTTTGTCATTTCTGTGTATCTCTCTATATATTCATGTATTTTCTTTTACACAGTTAGGAACATACTGTATACACAGCATTGTAGCATGTTTCCGTTTTTCCAATTAAGTCTGTAAGTTGAATATGTTTCCTAAATTATTAAATCTTCTCGAAAATATGATTTTTGAGGTCTGTTGTTTTTTTAGAAAAGAAAGCAAGAATTTATTGACTGCAGCAAAGATATACTTAGGACAATGAAACAAGGAAGGGCATAGAACATCGGTTCTCAACCTGTGGGTCACGACCCCTTTGGCGGTCGAACGACCCTTTCACAGGGGTCGCCTAAGACCATCCTGCATATCAGATATTTACATTACGATTCATAGCAGTAGCAAAATTACAGTTATGAAGTAGCAACGAAAATAATGTTATGGTTGGGTCACAACATGAGGAGCTGTATTTAAAGGGCCAGATGGTTGAGAACCACTGGCATAGAAGAAGCAACAGGAGAGCCTAGGATGGGCTGCTTTGGCTCACTGGGAAGTCAGAGAAAAGGGAGAAAAGGGGGCCTGGGAGACAAGTTCAGGACCAGCTGCTGCTGCTCATTGCCTGGGAGACAAGTTCAGGACCAGCTGCTGCTGCCCATTGCTTCCCTGGTTGCAAGTCTGATGGGGTCCCTTAGAGGTTAGGGAATAGTTGCTTATAGGGGAAGGAGATGGGAAAAGGAATGGCACGGGCATGCTCCCTGGAGGGAGAACACAGAGGTCTGATTTACATAGAGTCAAAGGCAAGATCTTACATTAAGTCTGGGCAGAGATTACGTAGATAAAGTGAGATGATATTGACAAAAGAATACACCTGGTTAATGCAAATTATAGCTAATTTGCCTACAAACGTCAGGTGGTCATAATAATCTGGCCACTCAGTGTAGAACATTTCCATCTTCTCAGAAAGTTGCTTCATGACCCTTCTAAGTCAATCCCTGCACTTGCCTCAGAGGCAACCACACATGTGACATCTTTAGCCACAGGTAAGTTTTACATGTTCTAGAATTTCATATAATTCTCTTCTTTTTGTCTTTTTTTTCCTCTCTGCATAATGTTTTGAAATTCATTCATTATATTCAGTTATTTATTGTTTTGTTGTTGCTGATTAATATTCAATTACATGGATACTCCACAATTAATGTATCCATTCATTTGTTGATGGGTTATTTTCCACCTGAAAATACAACTTTTATTTTAAAAGATTTTTTAAATGAGATTTTTAGAGAGATTGGAAGGGA